CAGAGGTGAAAAACTAGTGCTTAAACCAAATAAGATCTTGGATCAGAGTTAAAAATCATTGCTAAGATAATTCAACAATTGGTAATTGACAAAACTGAAATGCTTGTTACTGTAATGGTTGCAGGTGAACTCACAACAGAAAGAAAAGTGTTGAGGGACAACAGTGGTACATTCATAGTAGACATATTTATGGGAGATGAGTTATCTTTTACTCACAAGATAAACAATATAAATAAAGTGCCAACTAAACATCTCTTCCACACAAGTAATGTTTGTGCTCTCAAATACATTTCTCCATAATTGTAATCTCCACTACTGATCCCCCTGCCAATGGGCATGCAATACACATTGCACAAAGCATAATCTGCCCAAATCATATCTTCAGCTTGTGTAGTTACTAACTATTTTCAGGTCAACCAACACAATAAAGGTTTAAATCTTCTACAGCATGCTCCAAGTGCATTTTCATTGTGTTTCTCTACTCTATATGTGCACAAATCTTTATTAATAGGCAACCAAATAAACAAAGAAACATCATTTCCTCAACCAAATTGAAGTTCAATCATGGTTTGTCCACACCAACCAAAAGCCCAGCCATTTGGTGCTGTTGCTATCAGAAGCATCCCTTTGCTTTAAGGAAAACACCATCTTAAGGAATTTAAAATTCTTAACAAATAAAGCTGCAGTGACACAATGAGGAGAATATGCTACCATCAGCAACATTTCTCTGGGATGACAAAGACTTGATATCAAAGAAAAGTTTAGTTATCATTGTTGATTGATGGGAAAAAAGAACTGCAGGACTATGGAAACAGTGCAAGACAGTGGGCACAATGAGTGGGAAGACCTTTATCCGTGATGCATGATTCTTTGGAAGCAACATTTAATTTTAGTCTCTCCATTTAAACTGGAGGACTAGGCAGAAGTGCTGTGGGATAAAAGGACTTGAAAGAGGCAGTGCCCAAAATTTTGTAAAATATTAATCATGTAAATCTTCTTTTAACATTAATTCAATTTCTTACCAGGTCTATAAGCTTGGTGATGGGCACTTCTCTGATTGGCTTCTTCATTCGACACAGTGATTCAAGTGATGTACCAAAGCAGCTTGGCAGGTAGTTACCACCGATAGTAAGGAAGTAATCCTTTCCTCGATCCAGATGCAAAACCAAGATGTCCTCAATCTTATCCTCAGCTGAGTTTAATAATGTCACAGTGTCCTTACTAACATAAACTTCAAGGGATATATCCACAGATTCATCTGAAAGAGAGCATTCAGAAGCACTCAAACTTTACTTAAATAGAGACATTTAGATAAAATCACAGCAATTTGCATCGACGTAGCACTTTCAAAATACAGGTTGCCACGGGCTTGACAATTGACATAAGTGGAGAAATAATCATAGACTGAGAAATTAGAAAAGATAATTGAGTTAATTCGAAAAGCAGAAATACATGCATGTAGAGTAAGGCTTTATTTAATTCATAATTACGCTGATAAAAAGATCCAGTTTACAGTGGATATTTGATCATGTTCCCTCAGTGCTGCAGTTTAGCCCAACCTGTAGGGTTAGGATTGCATTTGGTAATGAAACTTGAGGGCCTTCCATTCCTGCATAGAATCCAACCACAAATACAGAATACTTTACATTGTCATACACAGTTGATCCTACAGCAGCCCTATGTTTGCAGCTCCTATTGTCATCCAGATAATCCTAGGGTACAGTCATTTACATGGCAGTTCACGGGTTATCTCCAGTGCGAATGCATGGGTTCTTGGGCTTCACAACATTAAAATGTGTTTTCTTGAACACCACTTCCAATGACATTTTGGTGGTGACTTCATTCTATTGCAGCTTTTGTGTTTACTCCATCATCAATCCATCATCATTTCTATGTCTTCTGCTTGCATCTACTTTTTTGCCTCAGTTTTCATTTAAATTCTTGTGACACATTATGCTAGATCTGAAGTGCTTAATCTTTCAATTGCCAACCAGCTTCTCTACCAAAAAGCTACATTATCCTTTACTATACATGCAAATTTATATTTCATATCTCAGATGCTGGGAACTTGATAAGTTGATGGAATCTTCACTTGCCCTAAAAAAATTATTTATGATTAATGCACGCAATTAAGATTTATCGGGAAGAAACTATTTAAATGGAGGGACAGAGGCCTAATCAGTGATATACCAACTCTGTCTTATGGAACAGCTGTAATTACTTAATTAAGGAAGCTAGTATGAACTTTTTCTGCAACTGTGGCTCAGCCAATTATTTAGTTTCAAATAGAAATGTAGCATCTCAGGTTGCAACTTTTATAGAGCACAGATTAAACGAAGTACTAGGACTTCGGTGAGTTGAGGTAACTTTACATATACGCAAAATTAGATTTTTAGCAAGTTATTAATATTTTGCAATTAACTGAAAGCTACTACTTAAATTCAGGGGCAAGGAGCTCAAGTAGAGGTATACAAACTATTTGTTGTAGAACAGCTGACATTAAGGAAGAAGTTTCAACTGTTTCCTTTGCTGTAACTGGGGTTCAACTAATTTTTTAAGTTTCAAAACGTTAACATGACATCTCAGTGTGATTTTACATAGTAATGCTAGGTATTTGGAGAGTTGAGAAAATTAGGCAACAAGAGGAATGTGGTGTTATTTTTCTTAACTTTTTTAGAAACAAAAACCTTTTCACCTTATGGGCTTGCTCCTGAACAGAGTTCCTTGAGTTTTGCAATTGCTGTTGTTGAGTGTTTAAATGAAATTGGTGGGATTGCGGGAACTGTTGAGAATATCAGATGAATTCGGTGCAAAAAATACTGGGAGAAACAATTAGCACTTTGACACCAGAAGAATAGAACACAGTAAGTTACTGGGTGGAATCACAATAAAGAAGAAATTAGGGTTACAGTGCAAGGAAGAAAAGGAGGAAGAGTGATTACATTAGTTGATTAGAGCATTGCAGTGCTAGAGAAAGAGAATGTTCCAGACGGTTCAAGCACCAAAACAATTTAGCTTGAAGCAAGGATCAAAAGGGTGAAATTATATGGTTCGATTTGGATTACAGGCTACTAATTGATCCGAAGGTTGCAGAGAATAAATGTGTAAAGAAATCAGAGTCATGCAAATGTTACAGACTAGCCATAATTGGGAACTTTAGTTATCTGAATGTAGACTGGGATAATGGGAGTGCAAAGGACAGAAAAGGGTAAGTGTTTCTGTAGCATGTTCAGGAGAACTCTCTATAGCAGTATGCGCCCAGATAAGCAGGAAGGAGACAATGCTTAACCTGGTTCTTGGAAATGAGATGGGCCAGGTAGATCAAGTTAGTAGGGAATGTTTTGGTCACAGTGATCATATCATAGATTTAGGACGATGGTGGACAAGAACAATGAATGATCCACAGTAAGAGTAATTAAGCAGTAAGAGCTGATTTCAATGGGGCAAGAACAGAGCTGGGCCTGATAGACCAGAGCTAAAGGTTGGCTGCAGCAAATGTTTGGGCGCAGTCAAGATATATTCCCTGAAAGGAGAAAAATAGGGAAAACAAATCCAAAACTCCTTGGACTTAAAAAAGGGAGATAGTAGATAGAAGACAAAGGAAGTATGCTTATGACAGATGTCAGGTAGAAAATACAACTGTGACCCAGGAAGGTCCAGAACACAGGTGGGGAAGCCAAGAAGTATGAAAAGAAAATAAAGTTTTTTATAGGAATATACATAGTAAAATGAGGAAAAGGGCAGATATTCGAACAAAAAGGAGGTTAACACACAGCCGATGTATTAATGCTTTGTGTATGTCTCTACTAGGACAAAGATGCTAACAAAGGCCATGGTGACATAGAAGGAAAGTCAGTCACTAGAAGGGCTCAAAATTAATAAGCAGGTGGTAGTGGTTAGACTGTGCTTAAAGTTGACAAGGCACCAGGACCCAACAAGATGCATCCAAAGATACTGATGAAATTGAGACTGGACATTGCTGAGGCACTGGCCACAATTTCTAGTCTTGCATAGACTCTGGTTTGGTGCCAGAGGACTGGAGAATTGCTGACTTCACAATCTTATTCAAAGAAACTTGTAAGGATGAACTGAACAATTACAGACCAGACCAGTCAGTTCAACTTCTGTGGCAGGGAAACATCTAGAAACAATTTGGGATAATCACGTGGACAAATGTGGGTTAATGAAGATGGATTTCTTAAAGTAAATTATGTTAACTAAAAACTGGAGATTTTTCAGGGGTCTACGAAGTGTTTCGATAGAGGTAGCACCCTTATACCTTTGGTCAGCTGGAATCACTGGTCCTCATCTACACCTAACTGAGTGTGCCAGCAGTGAGTTAACAAGTAAAATGCCTATGATGTGAGAAATCATGAAAATGAAACAACCTGGGCAATGTCTTTTTGACAACATTAACAGCCAGGATGAAATAATTCCAAACAATTCAAATAGCCAAAAAATACCATCATGTTGTGGATCAAAGGGATGTCCACACCATCTTTTGTGCATTACGATTGTGGGTTTACCAACAATGGATAAAATAGCAAACGAAGGCAGGCCCTTTGAAGCTTTGGTTAGAAACCCACCTTGGACAGGCAAACTCCGAAACTAAGCCTATGGCTTGGAGTCGTTGTTGCTGTTTTAGTTCACTGGGTGATGACAGATAACTGCCTCCACCTTACAGCTCCTTTGCACAGGCAGGATGAAGAAAATGATCCACCCCAGATGCAACTGTAGTGATGTGAAAGGGACACAAGCAACAAGTCTAAACTGACACTGGAAGCAACAGTTCCAATCCTGTATGAAGGTGGCTCTGGATGTTGAGCATTTTGATGATGACATCATGTAGTAGCACCCTGAAGGACAATAAAGCTTGTTCCTGAATTGGAGAGGGCCTGAGAAAGATGTCCTAAACAAATGCTCATCTCCCCACCACCTTAATAGCTTGCCACAGTAAATGGACATCTCTCAATGTGGGCTAACTGCACTAAGGATAAAAGACAACTTACAAACTTGCTTCAAAAGGTAGAAAAGATTAGCAATAATTTTGAAACACACTTGCTGGAATGTGAGAACAATGCTCAACTATGGTGACATCAATCACCCCCTAGGATGCTCAGCCCTGGGAGCCCATGACCTAGCCAGATTAAGACAATGAAGAAGTGGCCCTGGGTGAGGTCTGTTTCAACCTGACAGAACAAAATGCTGGCTGTCCCTTCTATTGGTCAGGTAGCCCTTCAGATGAACACTGCCTCTTCAGTGTCAGCTGCATGGTGAAGAAAACTATCACCACTAAGCTTTCACGTTTGCTAACTGGCCAGATTGAGCACATCACAGCCAAGTGACCCCCACCCCTCTCCAAGACCAGCAACATGCAATTCTCAGCAGCACTTACGCTTCAAAACTGAAGCTCACCCAACTAACAAAGATAGTTTCTACATAGATCTTAGTGAACGCATCCAGAATGCCCCTACCAAGGTCAAAAAAATTGTCCTCCATGGCAATTTCAATGCCAGAATTGGTCGTGACAGCCTGAAATAGAACAGAATGCTCAGAAACCATGGAGATAGAAACTGCAACAAAAGCAAACATTTATTAATGAAACTGTGCAGAAAAGCAGCTGTCCATAGCAACGCCTTCTTTCAGAAAAGGATTGCTTCAAGACCATGTAGATGCATCCCTACTCTAACCACTGGTACCTGAAAAAACTACAACCTGACATGCCAGTGAGAGCTGCAGATCATCCTTCACTCTCGAGCCAGTGCTGACTGTCATACAGAACACAGACTTGTTTGCTCAAAGCTGATCTTCTACTTCAAGCCCAAATCCACAAACAGATGTACAGCCACCAAGGAAATTTTGAATCAGTAAATTCCAAAATGTCATTTAGTAACCTTACTGATCTCACAGATGATTCCACTCTTGAAGAACACAAAACTGCAGTACTGGATACTTCCAGTGACGTTGTCGGATTTAGCACTAAACAGCAACAGGGGTTGGTTTGTAGAATGTGACAAGGATTTGCCAGCAATCATCAGGTTCACCCAGCTAAGAGAAAAAGACAGGCTACTGCCGAGGATGCAGCACCCTTCAACATTAATTGAGAAACATCCAAAATGATTGGTCAATTGCACTTGTAGCGAAAAAAATCTCAAGCGTACGCAGACACTGGCGAAATAAGAAGCTTCTATGAAACATTAAGATTTGTCCACAGACCTGCATACCAAAGCAAAAACCCTCAGAAGCGCTGATGACAGGACACTACACACTGACAAGGGGTCAATCCTGGATTGCCAGTCAGGGAACTTCGAAATACTCTTCATCACGAGGTGCATGACAGTGTCATCAAATGCATCTAATAACAGCCTATCAAAAAACCGTATGAGAGCTCAGCTCTGGAGGAAACAATGTGTCAATCAGACAAAGAGCAACAAAGCCCTCAAAGTCCATTGAATTCCAACTGGACCGTTAAGCATGTTGCCCATATCCTGCATATGAAGATCAAAGATATTCATGGCCTGCTGAAAAAGGGCAAGATCCAATAGCTTACACAAAAAAAAAAGAGAAGACAGGCTACTCCAACTACCGTGGAACCATCTTCCTTTCTATTGCTGGGAAACTCCTGAACAGAATACTTCAGAACAGGTTTGTGCTTACCATTACGGAAGAAAATTTCCCAAAGAACCAACATGGTTTCAGAGTACACTGAGGCACCAGCAATAGGATACTGCACTCAGGCAAACAAAAGAGTCATAAGCAAAACAAAGCTGTGAATATCACTTTCATAGCGGTCACCAGGGCATTCAATACTGAGCAGAGGACGACTATGGAAAATCCATGAAAAACTTGGTGTCCTCCCACGTTCCTGGCCATTGTGAAGCAGCTCTTAATCTTAACATTGACATACAAATAGAATTATAGGTACAGGGTGGCAACTTTTTCCAGAAAAGGTAATTTGGAGTAATTGCCCTGATCTTTTAGGGATCACAAAAAGGAAACACAGAAGATAACCATATTTTAACTTATAAATTTTGCATCTAATTAATATAACTTATATTTATGTAGCACTGTTAAAGTGCATAAATTTAAAAGATCAACTCAAAATCTGCCACTAATGTGTATGTCAGATCTTGCACACCTTCATGTCTTCATGGAGACTGAAGGGCTATTTTAATCAAGAAGGAATGAAGCTGTAGGTTGAAAACATTTTCTCACATCAATTCATTATTATATCCAAAAATTTACAATGAATTGTACAATTAAAGAGAGTAATCAGCAGTCCACAACCTGAAGAAATATTGGAAATTTCAGAATGATACTTGATACTTTATTTATCTGCAAGACCCTTTTCTATTTCAACAGTACGATGGCAGTGTTAATGGTGCAGGAAGTGAAATATCTGTCAATTGGCAAAACATACAACTTAGCAAAATCAAAGTTGCTGGAATGGCAGCATCTGTGAAGGAAAAAACAGAGTTAACGTTTTGGGTCCGGTGACCCTTCTTCAGAAGTTCCAGGACACGAAACGTTAACTCTGTTTTTTCCTTCACAGATGCTGCCAGATCTGCTGAGCTTATCCAGCAACTTTGTTTTTGTTCCTGATTTACAGCATCCGCAGTTCTTTCGGTTTTTATACAACCTAGCAATTTCAGTTTTTCTCCAGAGGTTAGTTCTAAAATATTAAAGAAGAAAAAAATAACGCAGGGTTACAGGAAAGAACAGCGAGTGAGACTGAAATTGAAGAACACTTTCAAAAGAACCTGTAGGAGCACAATGTCTGTTGGCTTTCTTCTGTGCTGTGACACAAATGGTATGATTGAGACTTGGTGAAAAAATTGGTTAGGCTGAAACTGGGAATAAATTCCTCTGAACTCTAAGCAATACCTATTACTTAGCCTTCGGGACTAAATGTAAAATTATTTCTAGGTTGAAGCAAAACTTGTGCTAATAGAAGTCACCATATTACTGAGCTACTACACATTAAAAATATTCTTACTTTACTTACTAGGTTCGAGATAGCCTTCACAAGGTTCTGCCCGCAGCCACTGTTTGCTGTAATGACTGTCATTCAGTTTGGGAATGAAGGAGAAATGACATGGCACCTGCCCATCATTGGTTATCTGAAACTTTTCCCTTTGCAGCTGTCGGAACTTCACATCCTCAAAGGCAAACTGTAATTAAGCAAGTAAAACAAAATAATTAAGAAAACAGGAATATCTTATTCATTCTGTTTTACTTTAGTTCTTTCAAAAACAATGCAAAAACTACTCATGCAATTTTAAAAACAGGCTTACAGATTATTTTATTCTTTCATAGGACGTAGGCATTGCTGGGAAGGCAAACATTTGTAGCCTATCCCTAACTGCTCTTGAACTGAATGACTTAAAAATCCATTTCAGAGGATAGTTAAGTGTCATCCACACATGCTGCGGGTCTGGAGTCAGGTGTAGGCCAGAAGAGTTAGGGGTGCTAGATTTATTTCTACCTTTAAAAAGGTCATTAGCGAACAATTTTTTTTTGTTTACAATAATTACATTTTGTGGTCACCATTATTGACACTAGCTTTACACTAGGCTTATTAATTGAATTTAAATTCCAACAGCTGTCGTGGCAGAACTTGAATCCATGTCCCCAAAGCAAAGTCTGGGCCTATACATTACTAATCCAATGACATTACGATTATGCCACACTTTCTCAAGATTCTGGAATAACTATCCTGTACCTTTTAACATAAATGACCTATTGCCTTTAACTTTGCCACTTCCATAAAACTCAAAGATTTAACCAGATTAACAGGAGATGGCCATACTTTGCAGGCTAAGTGGAATATGAAAATTTGTCTACTCTACAAAATAATATCAAATTCACCATTTAAGAATTATTCTGGCTAATGCTAGTGACTGATACATGAAGCTGCAAGGGGCAACATTAAATTGCTGTATTGAGCACAAGAGCTGTGGATTGATTCCGACTTCCACCATGTAAAGTACATCGATACTAAGCTGTTCTACTTTGACAGTCCTTGAACTTTTCATGTTTTATTGAAAAAAAATTTGCATTAAGTGCAAAAATGAGTTAGTACCCAACTGCAAAATACCAGAGAAACATGAACTAGGATCAAATGTGGAGAAGCTGACCCCAGCTGCTATATCATGGATAGCGTTGAGCGTCTTCAGTGCTGTTGGAGCTGCACTCACCTAGGCAAGTGCAGCATGTTAAATTACACTCTTAATTTGTGACTTGCAGGTGATGGATAGTCACTGGGGAGACAGGTGGTGTGACATTCACTGCAGAATTCTTGGCCTCTGATCTACCCATGCAGCCAGTGGCTGGTTTCAGTTCAGGTGGTCAGTGGTAACCACAATGGTGCTGATAATGGGGAAATTCAGCCCTGGTAAAGCTTGTGAACATCAAGAGGTGATGGTTAGCTTCTCTCGTTTTACATGGTCAATGCCTGGCATTTCTGCGACGTGAATGTTACTTAACAGCCTAAACCTGATGTTGCCCAGGTCTTGCTGAATGCGGAAATGGACTGCTGTAGCATCTAAGCAACCGTGAATGATGCTGAACATTGTCGGGGAAGTGGCAGCAAAGTGGTAATGTCACTAGCTTAGTAATCCAGAACACCAAGCTCAAATATTCTGAGGAAGTAGGTGCAAAACCTATCATGGCAGATGGTGAAACACAAATCTGGAATTAAAAGCTAACAAAACAGTAACCATGTTGATTGTTGTAAAAATCTCTGGTTCGGTAACATCTCTTAGGGAAGGAAATTTGCTGTTCTTAACTTATCTGGCTATGGCTCATACTATTATATTCAAAGAATGACATCCTGTTTGAAATAGGTGTTAGAATTTCTCAAACTGCTGAACATTAAGGATAGGCCAATACAGATGTAGACATTCAAAGGGATATCTTAGAATACATTGAATAGTTACATTCCAAAGAATAAGCTAAATTCCAAGGATGGACCCACCATCTGTGGTTAACACGAAAAAGTTCAAGACAGTATCAAACATGAAGAAGAGACACATAATCATGCAAAGACAGGTGGCATTTCAGAGGATTGGACAGAATTAAAAACAGCAAAGAATAATCAAAAAATGAATATAGGAGGAAAAATTAAGAGTTCAAGACAAAACAATTATGGGTGGAGTACAAAGGTCAGGGTAATTTTGTAAGCCAGAAAAAGTGATCAAAGAACAGAAATTTCATTTTTTAAATGACAGGACTAGTTGATTGCTAAACCTGATTCAATGTTCCAGGCACAGTTTATAACAAGTGTTAAAATGTATATATGGCTTGCAGTTTTTCTCATTTGCATGGTTCTCTACATTGTACGCAGACATTGTGTGACAATTTGAGTGGTATCGGTAATCAGACCACAAGTGGTAGTATAGCACACTAATGGAAATAAAGTAATTCTAAAAAACTAAAGGATTACTTTGTTCCGAAGCAGAATACTGCAGGTGCTGGGAATATGAAATAAACAGAAAAGGTTGGAAATACTCAGCAGGATAGGCATGTGCAACAAGAAACAGAGGAGATATTTTAGATTGATCTTCCTTAATCAGAACTGGAAAAAGTTAGAAACATAACAGGTTTTAAGCAATTGAAAGGGAGGAAGTGTGGGGAAAAATAACCTAACAGAAGGTCTATATTGTAATAGGCAACACCTCCTTCACTTTCAAAAGCACCTTTCCATGCAAGCGCAAAAAACTGCAGTTCCTGCACTTTTCTTTCCTCACAGTCCAAGCCAATTAAAAAGTCATCGACTGTAAATGTTAACTGTTTTTCCCCAGATGCTGCTTGATGTTAGTAGTTCAAGCATTTTTGTTTTAAATTTTACTACTTCTGAATTCTGAATGACAAAATAACCGCGGTCCCTTTTTTCTAAATCAAACAGTGGCATTTAATGGATCCCAGCACTACAAGTCTGATATGCTCAGGCAGCAGCACTGGCAGCCGATTTATAAACCGTATAGGTGAAATAAAAGAACGTTTTTATATGGTCACATGCATTTAGATACCTACTCCAAACATTAGCAACGTTTATGAAGAAAAGGGCTGCTAATGCTTGTACAAGATTTGCAGCTATGCACTTACATCTCTTCTGCTAAGGCATAAAGAAGGTAAGAACTCATTCTCCATCCGATCCATCACTCGAACAATATCTTCAAACACTTTCTTGTACCTCTGTTCATCTACGATTTTCACCTAGAGCAGAATGGAAGAAGTTAACGAGGTATTTCTCATGGATATATTAAAAAAAATCTAGATATATTCTACTTTTTTTTGCATTGAAAACATTTTAAAACACTGTTATACAATACAGCACAGGAACAGGTCCTTCGGCGCATCAGGCCTGTGCCGTTTCCTAATCCTTACTTCAATCCGCTACTCGTTGCCCATGCGTGGTTTCTATCTTGCTGTTCGCCTCCCATTCGTGTGTCAATCAAGCTATGTCTTAAATGTTGCTAATATGCCTGCTTCCACCATCTCCACTTGCAGTGCATCCAAGCACCCATGACCTCTGAGTGAAAACCTTTCCTCACACTTCTCCACTGAAAACCTTTCCCCTCTCACCTTGAACCTGTGCCTTCTTGTAGTTGACCTTCCCACCATGGGAAAAAGCCTGTGAACATCCATCCTATCTATGCCTCTCATAATTTTATAGAAGTCTAACAGGTCGCCCCGTCATCCTCAGTCTTTTCACTGAAAACAATCCAAGTTTATCCAACCTCTTCTCATAACTAAAACCCTCTAGCAATTAGGTAGGTGTAGGGAAGTGGGTACGGGTTGGTTGGACACTGGGATCTGAGGGTGTGTTTTTGGGATACTTTTTAGAATAGCATGTTCCAATGAACAAGGCTGTACTACACATGGTGCTGTGCAACAAGACAGAATTAAAGGTTCCATAATGAAGGCACCCCAAGGTAGCAGCGACTATAATATAAAAGTTTTACATTCAGTTTGAGGGAGAGAAATATGCTTCTTTTAAACTTAAATAAGGGTGATGATGAGGGAATGAAAGGAGAGCTGGCTAAAATGAATTGGCATATTGGGTTAAAGGACAAGCATTCCTTGCAGCAGACATTCAAAGGGATATTTCAGAATACATACAATAGATACTTTCCAAAGAATAAGAAAATTTCCAAGGACAGACCCACCATCTGTGGTTAAGAGGAGATATTCAAGTCACAGAAGCATACAAATATGCAAATACAGGTGGCACTTCTGAGGATTGAACAGAAGAAAAAAGAATAATCAAAAAATTAGTAAAAGAGAACAAGTTAACAGTTCAAAACAAAGCCAGCCAGAAATATAAAAACAGCAAGGGTTGGTCCTAAAGAAAATGAAACTGAAGAGGTACCTTGGCATTGGCTTTCACTATAAAGGACACAAGTAACATCCCAGAAACAGCTAAAGAAGGGTGGGAGGAACTCAGAAGAAATACAATTTGAGATATTTTGCGTCAGTCTTCACTAGACAGAATACAAGTAGCATTCCCAGAAATAACTGTAAATCAGGAATTGAAAGGAGGAACACAAGAAAATTACAATTCCATGGAAAGTGGTACAGAGCAAATTGTTGGCGCTACAGGCTAGTAAGTGCCCTGGTCTTAATAGATCTCTTTTCTTAGAGTGTTAAAAGATGTTCCTAATAAGATTGTTGATGCTTTGGTTTTAATTTTCTAAACACCTCAGATTTGGGTAATGATCTATTAGATTGAAAGATAGTAAATGATTTGATTATCAAATTATTTGATAAAAGGGGGATACAGAAAGTAGGAAACTACAGGTCAGTTAGCTTAACATCTGTCAAAGGGAAGATGCTAGAAGCCATTATTAAAGAAGTTATGTTCAAGGTCATCAGTTAGAGCCAACATTATTACTCGGATCTTACGTATAGTTTAAGGGAGAGAAAGCTGGGTCCAAGACTACAGCTGGAGCAATTTAAGTTAACAGACAGATCATCTAGATGCACTTAAGGGGATAAATCAGAAAGCACAGAATAGACGCACTCCAACTAGTAAGAAAAATTTTAAGGGATGTACTCGCCATCTGTGGTTAACTTAAAAAAAGTCAGTTTCAGAGTCCAAGGAAAGAGACAATTGTGCAAAGATAGGTAGTAGGTAAGGAGATTGCACAGTATAAAAACAGCAAGAATGATTAATAGATTAATAAGGAGGGAAAATTAGAATATAAGAAAAATCAGCCTAGGAAAAGAGTTCCTTCAGACATTTAAGAAAAAGGCTAAAGCAAATATTAGTCCTATGGTAAATGACTATTAGTAATTAATATTAGGAATTAGTAGCATGGCATAAGCAAATGGCAGATGAATTAAACAGATATCTTGCATTGGTCTTCACTAGAAAATCCCAGAAATAACTAATTCAGGAATTGAAAGGGATGTCCATGAGAACATGGAGTTATCACAAATTAATTTCTATAACCGGTACCCTCCCTTCATTTAAAAAGTTGATTTGCCAGACTTTTAAAATACCTGCTGCAGATCTGATTACATACAAGTTGGCTAAGTGCAGCAAGTTTCTTAACACTGGATTGCAGAAAGATATTGCTGGCTAGATCACCATTGTGGAATTTCTCATCATGCGGATATGCCAAAAGGCATCAATACAAAGATCGCAGATTCTCCATTTCCAAGTCCGTCTCAATAACAGAAGAGACATTTTGACATTCATTGTGCCTACAGAGGTGATAATTACCCATTTCCTAAAATAAACACAGAACTACAGATGCTGGAAGTCTGAAGGAAAAAGCAGAGTGCTGGAGGAACAAGCTGTGACAGCACTGGTAGAGAGAAAACAGAGTTAACGTTTTGAGTCCAGAGACCCTGCGTCAGTTCTGTATCTCCAGCACTCTGTTTTTGTATCCATCTCCTATGGTGCATTCAATTGATTTGACCAGGGAGGTGGAAACCCTCATTAAAACAAACAGCTCATTAATGACCTCCCATTATCCATTGCTGGATAGTATCACATGATGCAAAACAGCCAAAGCTCACCAGCCACCAATGAGCAAGGGCGTCGCAAAAAGACTTGAGACAGAATGGGTACCAGCCCAACCCTACAGTAACCAAACTGGGGAAACTGTTACTCTTTAAAAGCCCTGCTTGTAACAATTCAAAAGAGAGTTGAAATGCTGCTGACACCAGCCCAGGCAAATGAAACTGACACCCCCAAGTTCAGAAACCAGAAAAGGTGCCAGATCAAGAATAGGAGAGTTTGAAAGAGTCAGTCAAAGCGTGGCTAGCAGAGTGTTTTTGCTCAGAGATAAATGGAGACACTAAGTTCTCAAAACCAGGCAGGAAAGTCTAAGTGAGAAGCAGGCATACCTTTGTTTGTTGAGCCCAAAGTCCGACTAGCAGAAACTGCCTTGCCAACTTCGTTGGGGAGGGTGCGAGGGTTCAGGGAAATTCTCAAAATAGATAAGGTCAGAAATCACACAACACCAAATTATAGTCCAACAGGTTTATTTGAAATCAGAAGCTTTCAGAGTGCTTCTCCTTTGTCAGTTGAAGTGAACAGAAGCACACAGGCACAGAATTTATAGGCAGAGAGATCGAATGATCATACAAATGGTGCGAGTAGAGTGTTGAAAGGCTAAGTAACAAGTTTCTGCAGGTGATCAAACGTGAGTAATCAGCTGCAGAGACTTGCTGCTTAGACTGTCGACACTCTACTCTCACTACTCGCATGATCTTTCGATCTCTCTGCCTATAAATTCTGTGCCTGTGTGCTTCTCTTCACTTCAACTGACAAAGGAGAAGCACTCTGAAAGCTTCTGATTTCAAATAAACCTGTTGGACTCTAACCTGGTGTTGTGTGATTTCTGACCGCATCCACCCCAGTCCAACACCAGCACCTCCACATCATCTTAAATAGATAGACAGACTGCATTGATAATGTGTTACCTAAATGAAGACTGACAAGATAGTACAGCAGGAACTGGACAGCCACTTCCCAAAGTAACAGAAGAAATAAGGTCAGGACCCCTGCAGCTCAGCTAATTCTGTGATTGCCACAGGGGAAATTCAAGTGCAGGCAAGACAGAATTAAGCAGACTCCTCAATGGATCAGGTTCTAAACTTTAGAACCATAGAATCAATTATTATGGTTCAGAAAGAGGCCATGGAGACAGGGTGAAAGTTGTGGGGTTATGAACAAGTGATAGTCATTGAGTCATAAATTGAAAGTAGAATAAGTGAATAACTGCTTCACTCGCAGAATGTATTGTCAGTTCCTAGAGTAATGAAACCTGCTCCTCTCAGTTGCAGTTTGCATGAGAATTCTGGATAACGGGGGAACATGATAGTGGGGGCTTTACTGTAGTAAGAATATACTCATTCTGAAATACCTTTTTAAATGTCTGTCTGTGTCTCTCTATTGATATATCCCCTATCCTAATGTAACCCTACTATTTAGAAAAGAAGGTAGAGAGAAAACAGGAAATTATAGATCGGGTAGCATGGGTCAGTGGTAGGGAAAATGCTAGAATCCATTATAGAAGATTTTATGCAGAGTACTAAGAAAACAGTGATAGGATTGGACAAAGTCAGCATAGATTTACAAAAGGGAAATCATGCTTACCTATTCTACTGAAATTTTGAGAGAATGTACCTAGTAGAGTTGATAAGGGGAGCCAGCCAATGTGGTTTACTTAGACTTTCAGAAGGCTTTTGCCAAGGCCATATTTAGCATGTAAAACTGAAGCACACAGGACTGAGGGTAGTGTACTGACACAGAAAAAGAACTGGTTGGCAAGCAGGAAACATGGGCATAAACATGTCATTTTCTGAGTGGCACCCAGTGAGTAGTATGGACAGTAGCAGTCAGTGCCTGGACTCAGCTATTCAGAATATATATTACTGATTTAGATGAAGGAACTAAATATAATCTTTCTAAGTTTGCAGACAACATAAAGCTGGGTGGGACAGTGAACTGTGAGGAAGATACATACATTCTTCAGTGTGATTTGGACAAACTGAATAAGTGGGTAAATGCAAGACACATGCAACATAATATGGATAAATGTGATAGCATTTGGTAGCAACAACAGGAAGGCAATTACCTGAACGGCGATAAATTGAGGAAGGAGGTACAACCCAAGTGTCAGTGTACAGTTGCTTAAAGTAAGCGTGCAAGTGCAGCAGGTCGTTAAGAAGTCCTTCACAGCAACAGGATACAAGTACAGGAGCAGGGATGTTACAAATGTATAGGACCATGGTGAGACAACACCTGGAGTACTGTGTGTCGTTTTTGTCTCCTTATCTGAGGAAGGATATTCTGGCTATTGAGGCGATACAACAAAGATTTACCAGGCTAATCCTGCCATCCCAGGAACCAGTGTAGGAAGAGACTGGATTGGTAAGGACTATTCACTGGAGTTTAGAAGAATGAGGAAAGATCACATAAAAACCTAAAAATTCTGACACATCTCGACAGGGTAAACACTGGACGGGTGTTCCTGATGACCAGGAAGTTCAGAAAAGATGCACGTTTAGGGACATGGGATACGCCATTTAGGACTGAGAGGAGGAGAAATTTCTTCAACCACAGAGCGGTGAGCCTGTGGAATTATCCACCACAGAATGCGACTGAGGCCAAAACATTGAATATTTTCAAAAAGGAGTTAGATATAGTTCTTAAGGCAAAAGGAATCAAAGAGCATGGGGAGAAAGTGGGAACATGGTATTGAGTTGCATGATCAGCCACGACCATATTGATTGATGGAGCAGGCTCAAAGGCTGAAATGGTATACTCCAGCTTTTATTTTCTGTTTCTATGCATCACAAATTTAACCAGCTTCATTCTGGGCCTAGCTGATGCCAGCGGTGGTGGGTAAGATTTTGTGATTTTTCTTCCATTCAGAGAAAGGTAGATATACAAACAATACATACCCCAATATCCAAGAGTGAACTGACAGGCTTGTGATCACTGGTTCGAAGCTCCATGTGACTTCGATAACTTTTCTGATGTACACTTTCACCTCTCCAGAGCACACGATCACACCATGCTGGGACACGGCACTTGCCGCTGCCATGGAGAAACAGTCAACTTGTTACTTCAATATAATAAACCTTTAGGTACATTGTATAGTATAAACAAACAGGAAATATTTCCAGTAGATAGAAGTATCTGAACCTAGAGAAAGTATGCATTTTTCCACACACAGGCCCATTTCACAGTTTACTTGAGTTGCGAGTATCAAACAAAGATTTCTCATTTTGGAGGCAGGCTGTGGGAAGGAATTGGGGGTGGCGATTAAACACTTGAAACAGAATTATGAGGCTAAAGAAGAGTAGTAAACAGAGTGCCAATTTTTCTGCAATGCCCAGAAAGCATATCCCACAAAGAAAACTGGGATAATCCTCCAACTTGCATTCTCAGACAAAGGATTTTTCTTATTCTCCAAGAGGTGAAAGTTAAGTACTAAAATAGTGGAATAGCTGTAATTGGCAATAATCAGCTGGCAGTGTATTTTTGGTCATGGAGAGTGAAACAGACTTATGTTTTGAGTCACTTAGAATTCTTCTTTAGAATTCAAGATAGAAACATGACGGGTTTTTATGCCAAGGGGTGGAGGATGGGTGAGAGAAGGTGGAACAGAACAAACGGCAAGGACTGCAATAGGGTACAGGGCAGGAGAGATTAAGTAACAAAGACACTGTGGCACAAAAAGCAAACATTAAAGAAACTAAAGCATTTGTCCAGAGTGAGTGTGGATGGTAGATAATGCACAGAACTTAAAAATACAAACTAAACAGACCAGCACATGGCAAAAACAATCAAATGGGGAGATAAAGGTCATGAATTAAATTTTTAAAAATCAGTATCGAGTCCACAAGGCTGTAAAATGGTCAATAAGAAGACGAGGTGCAGCTCCTTGAGCTTGCACTGAACTTCACGGGAACACAGCAGCATGCCAAGGACAAAAATGCGAGTTGGCAAGGTGGTGAATTAAGATGGTAAGCAGCCAAAAGCTCAGGATCATGCTTGACGGAATGTAACATTTCACAAAGTGATCACCCAATCTAGTTCTGTTCTCAGCAATGTTGAAAAGACTGCATTGTGAGCAGTGAATGTAATATCTTAAATTGAAAGTAGTATAAGTAAATCACTGCCTCACGTGTAGAGTGTATGTTGGATGGTGAGGAGAGAGAAGATAAACGTGCATGTGTTCCATCTCTGTCTTTGCACAATCATGTGTCATGGCAAAGGGACAAGGTGGATTAATTGAAAAGTTGAGAAATGGCAGAGGATGATCCATTAAACGTGGAGGCTGGTAGGGTTTTCAACTCATACTTGAGTCAAGAGTCATACAGCATGGAAACAGACCTTTCGGACCAACTCATCCATGCCAACCAGGTTTCCCAAACTGAAACTAGTCCCATGTGCCTGCATTTGGCCCATATCCCTCTGTATCTTTCCTATTCAATTACCTGTCCAAATGTCTTTTGCATGTTGTAACTGTAACTGCATCTACCATTTCCTCTGGCAGTTCATTCCATATACACACACCCTCTATGTGAAAAAGTTATCCCTCAGAATCTTTTCCCCTCTCACGTTAAACGTATGCCCTCTAGTTTTGAATTCCCCTACCCTTGGGAAAAGGCCTTCATTATTCACCTCATCTATATCCCTTGTGACTTCTATAAATCTCTGAGGTCACCTCTCAACCTCCTAGCTCCAGGGAAAAACGTCCCAGCTTATCCTGTCTCTCTCTATAAGTCAAACCCTCGAGCCCCAGTAACATCCTTATAAATTTTTTCTGCACCCATTCCAATTTAGTAACATCATTCCTATAACTGGGTGACCAGAACTGGACACAGTACTCCAGAAGTGGCATCACCAATGTCCTGTAAAACCTCCACATGACATCCCAACTCCAATACTCAAGGCTCTGACCAATGAAGACAAGAGTGCCAAATGCCTCCTTCACCACCCTGTCTACCTGTGACAGCACTTTCAAGGAACAATGTACCTATACCCCTACATCTCCTTCTGTTCAACAACACTCCCCAGGGCCCTACCATTAACTGTATTAAGTCCTGTCCTGGCTTGTCTTACCGAAATGCAACACCTTGTATTTATCCAAATTAAACTCCATCTGTCACTTCTCGGCCCATTGGCCCAACTGTGGACTTGAAACATTCACGGTTTCTCTCTTACCTTACAGACGTTACAAGAACTATCAAGTATTTTCAGTAATTTTGGATTTGATTTCAGTTTTTCAGCATTTGCAATATTTTATCTTAAATGTTCTTTGTTGAGTTGAGGAAAGTAAAAGGGAAAAGGGTGCACAATACAGTCAAAGTTGAAAAGTAGAATAAAAGCTAAAATGAAATCAGATAATAGCAATCAGGTGACACTAAGCTAGGATCATAAAATGAAGAAAAGGCATGACATGAGTTTCTGCTCCCAAAAATCAGTCAAATCAGCACACGTGTGTGCGCGCACACAAAGGAATTTAAAATATCAACAATGTCTAACCAGGCTTAGTTTCTGTGATCTTTGGGCTAATTGAAAGAAAAATTTAGAAGCAGGCTCCACTTACAAAAACTGATCACACAGCAAGCCCAAACTTTCATACAGTTACTAACATTTGTTGATTTTCGAGAAGGCTCTCAAAATGCAGCTCCTCCAACCCCCTCCCCCCACCATTGGTCAGACTGTCAATAAAAAAAACAAAAACATTTTTAAGAATTTTATGATACCATTACAATGGTGTAATTAGCAACATGCTATTTAATTGTTTTAATTTCATTTTGCAATTGTTTAAACTTGGATTACTCTGTCAGTGGACTAGAAATTGGCTAAAATGTTTATTTTTATGATAAAGCCATTTTGAGCAGCACTACACAACCTCCGAGTATTTCAAGGAATGTCTGCAATGAAAAATTTAAGTTGGCACTCTAAATTACTGCAAGGTTGTGCTGGTTCACTAAAGATTTTTCTTTTGTTCAGTAACGTGCAAATAAAATTAAAATGAGGCTCCAGCAAAATACTTAAAATTGAGATTGTATACAATTCCCTAATTGTGCCCAAAACAAATACAGTTTGCTATGATGTTTCATCAGTTCCATCAGAAAATCTATAAATGATGACAGAAAACTTAAACAACCTATTCACAAGATATTTCTTAAGATACCATTGTTAACAATTTGAATAACAAATCTGTCACAACTACTTACCTCGAGTCCCATCGATCAGATTTGGTGTCATACTTATAAGTTGGTCTGAAATGAATTTCCCCTTCATTAAAGTCTGCAAATGCTTTCTTAGTTTTGCGTTGAATATTTAACTGAAAAATAATATAAATAAGTTGTCATAATTATTTATTAATTAATTTTAATCAAATTATGCTCTTGATCCAAGCTAAAGTGCGCCCTCCTGCATTGCGGATAAGCTGATGGAATCAGAAATCAAGCTGCCAATGATTTCTATATAAAAACAACATACAAACCCATATCAACGGTGCTACAAACTACAAAGCAGTAAAGTTTACCCTAATTGATATTACTAACAGGACACACTTTAAGAACACTGTAGCTTTTTAGATATTCAAGATATAAAGCAAAATCACAGTTTCCAAAAACATGCAATTGGTCAACAACAAGGAATGTCCTCTACAAAATGCTGACAGTACGCTGGCAATCTTAATGCTCCTCATCATTTTGAAGTTTTTCCTAAATCTCATTGTATAATTTGACCTAAAACAGACGAGCTCATAATTGTTCTCAAAACTAAATGCATAATAAAATTATTATTTGAAGAACATGTACTAAAAACTCAAAATGCATAGTAATGAACAGAAATTTAGTATTAAGTATTTTTTCATATAAACAAAAGTTGTGCTTTACGCCAGTTTCAGAAATTCCAGTTTGCAGGCTCCAGCAGCCTCCTCTCTACCATGGACGTGCAGTCCCTTTACACATTCATCCCCCACCAGGATGATCTCACGGCTCTCCATTTCTTCGTGCAGTGGAGACCTGAACCGTCCCCACGCACCACCACTCTCTTCCACTTGGCTGACCCTGTCCTCACCCTCAATAACTTCTCTTTTAAAACTCCTGTCATTTTTTTCAGGTCAGATGGGTGGCCATGGGTACCTGCAGGGGCCCCAGTTATGCCTGTCTCTTCGTGGGGTACGTGGAACATTCCTTGCTCCAATCCTATTCTGGCCCCCACCCACATCTCTTTCTCTGATATATCAGTGATATCATAAGTGCTACTTCCCTCTCTCGTCCGGAATTAGAAAAGTTCACCGGTTTAGTTACCAATTTCCACCCTGCTCTCACCTTCACCTGGTGTACCTCTGACTCCTCCCTTACCTTCCTCGACATCTGTTTCCATTTCTGGGGACAGACTGGCCACGAATATCCGCTTTAAACCCACCGACTCCCACAACTACCTGGACTATACATCCTCACACCTTGCTTCCTGTAAACATACTATTCCATTCTGCCAGTTCCTTTGTCTCCGTCGTGGCCAACTTCGACAAGGGAGCCTCTGAAATGTCCACCTTCTTCCTCAACCGAGGACTCCCCAATACTGTTGTTGACAGGACCCTCAACTGGGTCTGACCCATCTCCCACACTTCCGCCCTCACCCCCTCCCGCAACAGCGATAGGGTTCATCTACATCCAGAAGATCATCAGCCGCCATTTCTGCCACCTCCAGCAAAATTCTACAACCAAAATTCCCTCCCCTCTTGTCTGCCTTCCACAGGGACCGTTCCCTTTGGAACACCCTGGTCTGCTCTTCCTTCACTCCCAACATCCCCCGTCTTACAGCACCTTCTCTTGTAAAAATGACCCTGAGCTTCCAGTTGCCTGCCACTTTAACACACCACCCTGTTCTCTGGCCAACATCTTTCTCTCTGGCTTGCTGCAGTGTTCCAGTGAAGATCAGTGCAAGCTGGAGGAATACCACCTCATTTTCCGCTTAGCAACCTTACAGCCCTCCCTACTCAATATTGAGTTCAATAATTTTAGGGCCTGAACTCTCCCATGTTCTAGCCCCCAATTGCACACACTAGGCCTTGTTATCACATAGCCTGGCATTACACACTACCCATTGTTAGCCACCAACATCTCCATTAACAGCTATTTACCCTCCCAGCCGGATTGTTATCCACTCCTTTGTCTGTCCAACTGTTCTTCTCTCTCTGTGAGCTCTATCCCCACCTATCATTTACTCCTTACCCTCACCCCCCACTCTATCATATATCAACATATTCCTAGCTACCATCAATGCTGAGGAAAGGAAGCGTCACTGGACCCAAAATGTTAACTGATTTCTCTTCACAGATACTGCCAGACCTGCTGAGCTTTTCCAGCAATCTCTATTTTTGTTTCTGATTTACAGAATCCACAATTCTTTCTCTTTTTTTTAACGTTACGAGGAACACTCATACATTTTTCCCATGCTGATCACATGTACAACAATAGCTGCTCATCTTTCAAAATTCTGCACCTTTCTGTTCTTTTACAGGATGGGGCCTCACTGGCTAGGCCAGCCTTTACTAACCATCCCTAACTGCCCTTGAAGGTAGTGATGAGTAATTAGGAATGGGCAATAAAGGCTGGCCTAGCCAGCATAGCCCACATCCCGTGAAGGAATAAAAATTGCACAATGTGCACATCCTGCCTACACTCCACAAATGGATTTTAAAAATAGAAACAGGTTGCAGATGTAGCTTGGATATAATCAAGCCAGTTTATTCTATAATTATTAGTCACAAAATTTAATGTTTGGTATTTAAGTATAACAATACAAACAAGTTAGCAGTACCAAACAAAATCAGCACATTTTAAAATACTTATAATTACAGTTCTATTGATTATACCAAAATTATTTATGGCAATATTTTCACAATTCTAAGGAGCTAGCAAAGATGGTATATTTAACTTTCCCTACTTGGTCATATTCCAAAAGTTTCTTCAAATCTTGCTTCTCTATCAGTGCCTTCACTTCACTGGCATCTGGGAGACACAGCCTGTAATTCAGATCCCCGAGCCAAATAACAACACTGCAACAAGAAATGTAAAGAATTAGAAAAGTCAGAAAATGCCGCAACCAATTTGAAAAAAGTACAGGAAGTGCATTATAGTAAAGTCTGGCTTTTTGTTGGGGATATGTTCCTGGAGAATCTTGCAAATAGTGAGATAGCAAAGAGCAAATGTGTGTTAGAATGGAAATCAGTTGGATACGTTCCAAACATTCAAACTTGTGACATTTACAGCACAGCACAAGTTAAAATTGGATTAAAACATTTTAAATTTTTTCTTTAAATTAGTGAATAGTATAATAAACTGAGAAGTATATAAAATTTGTTAGACTGACCGCAATCATTGGGCACTTCAGCAGAAGGTATCTAGGTAACGTTGGTGGAGGTACATATAACTTTTTTTAATGCACAAAGTATTTTTATACCCTGTCTTCAAAGAAATACAGTGTTTATATAGAAACTTGCCTTGCACTGTGTCTACATATGAGACATAGCTCAGAGGTAGATGGAAAATTATTCCTGCTTTTCAACTTGACCTATGAATGTCCTGGATTACCTGGTTTGTAGTAGCAGTTCACATTAGCCAATGGCTATTACAACAAACAGTCCTTCATTTATAATGTTTGGACTATATTTTCACATTTTTCCTGTGCCAAGTACTTGGCCAAATGGCTGAGGACCAAACTACCTGCTTGCATGTTTAACAGGTATATCTGCAGATTTATATTTCTTGATTATATATTACTAAGTTCAATAAATCAGAAGTGCACACCTAAATACTACGTGTTTATTGTTCATTTGCCAGACGACTTGTTAAATCCAATAAATTCACAGTAAGCTTACTTACGGAGTCCGGCTTGTTGGATTAAGCACAAACAAAAACTATACTGGAAGTTGCCAGAATTGCAATACAGTGTCACTTTTCTAAGTGCCTGCCAAACTGCCTAGTGTCAAATAAAAGACTGGAGGGCACAGATATTTCAGTGATTTTCACCTATGCAGTTTGGTTTAAATTGACAGAAAGTAAAATCCCTTGTATTCTATTCTTAAGAGTCCTAAATAGAATTGTTTAGGCATTCTTATTCCAGTATACCAAAATGAACCTACAGCAGAAAATATTGTACTTTTTGGCAAAGTCAGAGAAACTGGTGCAAAACTTACAGTGAGGTAACAGAAAACATTCTTTTAATGGCACACTTTGTTGGGAGAAAGAAAGGGAAAACTGTACTGCATTCAAACATATTATTGTATTATTCTTGACTCTGGAATGTTAGATTCAGAAACTGGGTGCTCTAATTGAAACAGTATTTTACTACCCAGTGTGAACATTCCTCACTTTGTTAAACTCAAAATTTATACACACAGAATAATGACCATGCTTACACAAACATGGGGCTGAACGTCAATTGTTCAATACTTTGACCCAATTAGCAGGTATTCCTTAAGCACTTTTTCGTACTCACTCATGTTTACTAATGCTTATAGAAGGTTGATTCTGAGCTACTTGGAAAATCATGCGGGCACAGATATCTTTGTAATCCTGATTCCGTCTCTCAAAGTCCTCCACATGAGCAGCTAAGTGAGAATTCACTATGCAGAAACTTGTGTTGTGAAAGACAAACCGTACTGCCACTCCACCTTTATTACCCTGAGAACAGGAACACATGCATGTTAATTAATCTTCTGGAATTCTGGCTGTTTTCTGACATTTTATCGAGAAGGTAGACCTCATGATATATTTTAACATAAGCACTTGGTTGTTTTTTTCTAAAAACAGACAGGTACCACAAAAATAATTTGTGTCACAAGCCAAAGTTAGGTATAATTCTTTCATACGCCTTGATTTGGCAGTAAACCTTTGGATTCATCGTTTATTGAAGGCAGTGTCCCAACAATCTTAAACATGTTTTTAATAATTAAAGACCTTAAAATTATGATATGAATTTATTTTGTATCATGCTTTACACCAATGTGAAGGTCGTAGATATTTACAACAATCACTAAATTGTAGGAAAAAACTACTAGAAATGCATAGCTAATTCAGTTTCTGTAAACAGAAAAATGTATCCTTCAGCATTGTCAATAATTTTGTTCTTACCATCTTTCCCATGATTCCTGTTCCTACTGTCTCTGCTTCCACATCTCTTATGTACTTTTCATGCTCCTTTTTAACAAATACGATCATCATCATTCCAACTAAACGAATCAATTTAATCTAAAACATGGCAAATAAAGGGGAAAAGTAAGAGATACAAAATGCATTCAGAAACACCTACGAGTGACAGGACATGTACACAAATAGAGAAACAGTATGTCTTGCAGTCCCATTTTTGGAAGACAGAAGGTGGAGGTTTTTTTTAAAATGATTCTTTCCTTAGGTCCACCATTGCCATACAAGACCACAACTATGAGAATTAGCAAATCCGCTGCTTCCAGGCCTCAGTCAGCTGGTGGCATTTGCCTGCAAAGTTCAAAGAAACTTGTTCTTTACTATTAACCACGGCACTTAGTGAATTTCTGATACAGACAGAACCTTTGTTTAGAGTCACACCTACCAGACAGTTTTAACACTCCCTCTGTGACACACTAATGGTATTCCACTCAAGTGAACATATTTAACATTTATTGTCTCTGTTCCACCTTTCTGTGGAGTGCTGTTTTCAGACAATATTTTTCAATTAAAAAGATTTAGCTGTGCCCATTGGCCTCTCCCCACAATACCAAGTGTTCCAAGATAATCAATTCATTTTGGCATTGTCACGAAATATGCCAATTGAGAAACTGTCAATGGAAAATGACACACTGATATAGGATGGTGACATCCCCACCAGCCCTCTAACCCTTTTGGAAATATTCATTTTTGTTAAATGAGCAAAAATAAGAGATTCATTGTGGAAATTTAAAAATTAGTAACAAATACAAGCTGAACTATTGATTGAACCTCAAGGCCTTATACACTTGATCTTTGTAACAGAACTACAGAAAAGGTAGGTCATTTAAGAAAGAAAGTCCTTTAAAAGAAACATTTTCTGTTTGAATCTTTGTAGATATTAAGTTGCTTAGTTTTCAACCTCAACTATTTAGGCACTCAATTAATTTTGCACAATTTGGAGGCACTGTAACTTACTCTGTAATATTTGGATTTGTGGTGCAAACTTCTCTCTACAGCAGTCAGCCATTCTTGTTCCTTGTAAGAATCGAAGTAAAAGAAAGCTTCAGTACTCAGATCCAACTCCTGAAAACTTAAAATCGAGTAAAAGAATTAGTGATCGAAGTCAACATGTAAAGCAAGATTACATCTAAAAGTAAAATAAATCCTGTAAGGTATCGTACAGTTCAAATGATTTTCAACATAATCAAAAATTATGAAAATAATAAATTTGTGCTCTATTTGACCTCATCCTCGCCAATCTGACTGTTGGAGTTGCATCTTTTCACAACAGTATTGGGAAGAATGACTATTGCATAGCCGTTGTGAAGGCGGAGATTCATCTTCACATTTAGGATGCTCTGTCCTGTATTATCAGCATGATCAGAGTCAGAGCTTTACAGCACGAAAAGGGGCTTTCGGTCAATCATGCACCAGTAATCTCTCTCTATCCTAATCCCATTTTCCTTGCTGCTTGCATGCAAAAAACAGCAGAAGCAGCATGCAATAGATGTAGTTAAGTATTCCAATAGCCACCAGATCAGACCCACGCTCTGCAGTCCTAACACATTCAGCCACAATTGGTGATGGACAGTTTAAACAGCTGACTGGAGGGAGCAGTCTCCACAAGCATCTCCAAACACCACTGATCAGTGAGCACAAAACATCACAGCAAAAGTTAAGGCTGAAGCATTTGCCACTATCTTCAGCCAGAAGTGTCAAGTGGATGATCCAGTTTGGCCTCTTCCTGCATCACAGATGCTAGTCTTCCACCAGTTCAATTTACTCCATGTACTGTCAAGAAACTGTTGAGGGATATGGGCCTAGACTGCACTCGTAACTAAGTTGTTCCAACAAAGCCACAGCACTGGCAACTATCTGCAACCAAGGAAATTGCCCAGGTATTTTCTGTACACAAAGAGCAGGACAAATAAAAACCAGCCAATTACTGTGCCATCGGGCTACTCTTGATCATCAAAGAGATGAAAAATATTGCCAGTGCTATCAAGCACACTTACACAGCAATAACCCAGTCAGTGATGCTCAGTTTGGGTTCCACCAGGCCCACTCTGCTGCTGACCTCAATATAGTATTGGCCTAAATGTGGACAAAAAAGACCAACCAAAAGGTGAGGTAAGAGCATCTGCCCTTGACAGAATGGCACTTTTAGTTTAGCATCAAGGTGCCTTAGCAAAACTGAAGCCAGTGTGAATTGGAGGAAAAGCTCTCTGTTGGTTGGAGTCATACCACAGAAAAAAATGATGCTGCAGTCATTAGGGTCAATTATTTCTGTTCCTGAATATCAATACAGGAGCCCCTCAGGACCGTTTTGGCTGCTTCACCCATCTCTAACCTTGGGATGGAGGGATGTTCACCAATTCACACCATTCACAACTCCTCAGACACACTGCAGTCTGTGTTTATATGCAGTGAGATCTGGACAACATCCAGGCTTGGTGATACATGATAATTAATATTCTCACCATAAAAAAAGCTTGACAATGTCTAAGTCCAACAGCAGTGAGTCCAACCAAATAACTGAATATCAACATCCGGGAGGGGTTACAACTGACAAGAAACTGAACTGATTCACTCATTTAAATACTTTCGATGCAGGAACAGGTCTGATGTTGGAAATGCCGCAGCAAGTAACTCACCACCTGCCTGCCCATCATCTATAATGACAGGAGTGTGATGGAATAATCTCCACTTGTCTAGATGAGTGCAATTCCAAGAACATTCAAAATGTGAAACAATATAAAAGCAGTCTGCCTGATAGGCACTGCATCCACCACCTTAAACATTCACACCCTCCACTATAGACACCATGATGGCAGTGCAAATGCTCATTTGACAGCACTATCCAAGTCCATGACCTGCATCACCCAGAAGGACAAGAACAGCAGATAGGGATGTGACAGCCTTGTGGTATTATCATTGCACTGTTGATCCAGAGACCCAGGTAAAGTTCTGGGAACTGCAGTTTGAATCCCACCACAGCAGATGGTGGAATTTGAATTCAATAACTAATGAACCAGATGACAATCGAGAATGATTTATGTTGTTTAGGAAAGGAAACTGCCATCTTTACCTGGTCTGGCCTACATGTGACTCCAAACAAACAGCAATGTGGTCAACACTAAACTGACAATTAGGGATAAACAATAAATACTCTCCTACCAATGATGCCCATGTGCAGTGAATGAATTAAAAGAAAGCAGGGTAACACCACCACCTGCAAGTCTCGTACTATCCTGACTTGGACTACATAGCCTTTCCTTCACTGTTGCTATATCAAAATCCAAAGTTCCCTTTCTAATTGTGCTCCTTAACTACATTACCACAGCAGGTCAAGATGGCAGCTCACCACTACATTCTTTAGAGTAATTAGGAATGTGCAAAGATGGCCAGGTCCCATGAAACAATGAAAAAAACTATTTAATTTATGACAATTTAATTATGTCGCTTACCCTAGACAGTACACATCAGGTGGCTGAGGATCAGCACGAAGCCATGGATCCAAGCTAGTATCAGGAGATTGTCCATTCACATTCCAGGTGCCAATAAAAAACCTGGAGACAGAATCACACATGAACTTCTCCCCTTGTCATTTAAGCTTGACCTTTTCAAAGGCAAAATCAATATTTGATTTTTAAAAATTATACCAGCTCTAATCATATGATGTAACCATGAAGATAAAATAGACATGTCTGAAATTGTCTCAAGCAATCAAACTGCATTTTTATATTGAGACAGATACTTTAAACCAATCTTGTACACAAATTCAAACAACTAAATGTTTTAATGCTACATTTATTGAAGCTATATACATCAATTACTGATGAACATTCTGTACCCTTGACACCCTTGGTGCTTCCCTAAATCAACGTTCAACACAGTGGAGTACTAAATCATCAGCTGAGGTTTGCTCATTTTTGACCCGATTCCAAAAGACATCTTAGGATCCAGAGATAATGTTGGAGACTTTTAAGACAACAGCCTCCCAACGACACACGACTGTGACACCACCTTTGGTGGATCACTCCTGCAGGTCAGACAGCACATTAACAATAATGGTGGTAGTGGTGTCTGCAATATTGCTAGTAAAGGCATAATTCCAAGAAGGTGGCTGACAGGCTATTACTTAACTAGTCTGTGGGACAGATCTCCCAATTTTGACACAAGCCCCAAATCGTTCAAATTCATGTTCTCCAATTTCAGACCGTATGATGGAGGAAGATTTATCGATGAACCACTATTTGCTCCCTTTTGATGTCAGATTATTTTCCTTCTTTGCTGAATATTTAATTTAGTTATCTAATTCAATATAGCACCTCAGTAAACATCTCTGTTGCTTTTCCACTGAACTTTGTGGCTGTTAATCTTCCGAGTGTTTTCAGGAATTAATTGCCTTGACACTACCTAAATAACTTGGTAAAGATATCCAAGGGGCAATAAAAATGGTAAGCTTCCAATTTGATTTGAAAAACATTTTCTCAGTATACAGTTATTATAAAATGCTTTGTCACTTCTGAATGACATCAGCTCCTCTTTATATGGGCACTTTGTTTGTGCCACCAAGAGGTGGCGTTTGAATCATTTGCAACCAAACAATAGCTTAATCAACATGAAACTCTGAAGAGATGCATGAAAATCTAGATGCATAAATCCTTCGGAGAAGCTTGTCTGGATGGGGATAGCCTTCGGATATTTGTTAGATAATCAAACTTCAGACTTGATCATGATTTCTCACTTCTCAACGATGAAACAAGGGACATATAGTATGATAAAGCTCTCAGAACAAAACATCCCCAGAATGAGTCAAAAATGAACCCTCTATGCTAAACGTTGCAAATATTAACTAAAATGAGTAATCAATCCAGAAACCTTATTCTAACATTTAGATTCACAATCTCATACAATGAGATGGAAGAAAATACTAACCTAAAATTCTGAATATTGACATATTCTCTTTCACGTCGTGCAAGGTAATGTTTAATCAGACCTTCTCTGGCACCAGACTGATTACTTGGCTCAAACAGCTTTCGCATAGTATTGGATACTCTTGGCTGCCCATTCCGTGGTGCCTCCTTCTCAGTGGTTGGCCTATAACACATATACACATAATTAAGTTCCCAATTGCTGCTTTAAAGTGATTGTGAAAAAGAATTAGAAGAGAGGAATACAAACCTTTAAAAGAGGAATGTGGACTAGAATTAGGAAGTGGAATAAAACAGGTGCTATGTGAGGAACAGCTAGTGTCAATGTGTAGTCTACAGGTAAACGGCAAAAACAATAATGCAAAACCAATTTGTGTGGTCATTTTACTTAAGATTTAAGACCAGTGCTACACAGATTAAAGTTTCTCAGTTGCCGATGTCTTTAGCTTTTACCTGTACATGAAAAACATTTAATTATAACAGTGTTTCCCAAACTTTTCACAAAAGAGCTCATGCTAAGACCTTAGACTTTAAGTAACTCCAGAACCAAAACTGTAGGTAAGGTGGTTGAGACCTGCTCAGCAAGGTAGTTTACACTAAAAAAGTTAAGACCCGTCTCTTAAAAGGCTGTGCTTGTAGCTGCAATTGGGTCCCATGGAGCAGATGATTATACTATGCCGCTAAAAAGTCCGCTAACATTCATGGTCAAATCTCACATGAATAACAGCCACTGAATCAAGGTGCATGCAGGAAATCAGCACTGGAGGAACTGTAACGCAGTAAGTAGTTAATAAATTAGGCAGCAAAGGAGAAAATCCTGTTTGATGTTCTTACTCAAAGGAGATTTTTACATTTAAACCTTCACAGGTTTTCTCATGATTCCGAGGGACACTGAAAAGTGATCTGATATTTCAAATCCTGGCTGATTTCCCTTGCCAATGGATGAAGATGGGTAATGAGGCAAAGGTTAGTAACCAACTGTGGTCCCAGTGGACCATTATAGTTTAGTTTAATCTGTTACTCACTCTATCCGAGGAGGCACTGCCACAGGTGTAAAACTGCTTGCAGTTTGGTTCTGTTGATTTTTCTTCTCCAGATTTAGAATATCACTGAAATCATCGTCAAACCTAAATTCTAACAGAGAAGCAAACTGCTAAGTAACCAACTTTAAAGCTTTTCTTAAAATATGCAAACCAACCAAAATCGCAGACATAATGATACTGTAGCAGTGCAAGCTTTTTGTTAGGAAATCCAGAAATGCAGAGCTCTACCAAACCCATGCCAGACCTCATCAGAATTTTGCTTTGCTTCGTATTCGCCCACAGAAGCCAGCCACATTGAGCCACATTTAATCCTACACGATGTTCAAAGGAAGTGGATGCAGGGTGGTTGTCAAAATAGAGTGGAGAGGTTAACAGACCCCAAGTGAAACAGAAGAAATGCTTGCAGCACCATAAAATACTTTCATTGTAGTGCAAAATACCATACTCTTTCTGGTAGCAGACTCATGACAAGCTGTATCGAAATCTCCACCTACCTGCAGGTCTTTCCAGAAAGCTACAATTCTGACTTATGGAGGTAGTGCCATGGAATGCCTTCTTCACAGCCACCTTAAACATCACCTCTTTCAAATCAGCTGTTAATACTGTGCAGGACTAGGCATCATCTTGAGGGTCAAAAACAAAGTTGCTGGAAAAGCTCAGCAGGTCTGGCAGCATCTGTGGAGGAGAAAA